TTTCAATTTGAAATCGCCGATCCCATTGAACAATTTAAGATGTTGTTGAGTTTTATTTCCTTGGATAATAATGATCTCAAGGGATGTTTTTTTTAAAATAAGTTGTTATTTAACTTCTGAGGCACCATCTTAGGATCTTAACGCCATACTTTTTCATCCTCAATGGAATTGATTAAGTTTTTAAAACTATATTTAGTTTTTATCTAGCCTTATTTCCTTGGAGAATAATGATCAAAACAGATGTGTTTTTCTCGACGAAGTTGTCATTTAATGCTGGAGACACCCTCTTAACATATTTACTTCCAACTTTCTCATCCTCAATTGATTTGATCAAATTTTGTAACTTTCTTTTTCAAAATGCTGAACTGCTTTGATTTTTGTGTGGAGCTTGTAAAACAATTTTCTATGACATCCATCCGATAAAAAGCTTAGTTGCCATCTCTATGAGCGTGCTTGTACTGTTTCCATATGAAGATCACCAACATTGAGTTCAACAAGTTGCTTGTGAAGCAGACTTGAGTAAATTGTAGGGCTGAGATCCTAAGTAGCTTCCCTCAACTCAAATGTCTATAATAGAGCGTTTAATGTTATAGTGAATTTGCATTCCTTAAAAGTTTTTTATTCTGACAGAAAGCAAATCTCTTCTCTCCTTTAGAATAACTATATTGAAAATTATAGGGAGAATGAACAAGTTGTTTCTTGCATTTCCTCTTAGGACTATTCATGTTGGTCATTGTTCTTGTTCACACCGTATTCACTGCAACTTCATGTAAAACAATACAAACTGTAGAAAAGATACTGTCTTCATTACTTTGTTGCGCTCAGCTTGATAGCCTTTCCTCCAAAGGCAAGGGGTACAGCATGAGGAATAGTTATAGTCACAAACATAATAGGATTAGTTGGGACAACATCATATGCAAGCAATAGCAATTTTTTTTGCGACAGTCTTGCTTCAACTCTACTTTCTGAAGATTTCTCTTTGGAGGGAATATTTACTATCATTGGATAAATCAAAATAGTCATCTCACATACTAGTTAATGTCAAGTATCAACAGTTTTATGGGTACTTGTAGAAATTATCCCTCCTACAAAATAGATAATATTCACAAGAATCAAATTTCAAAAAGAAAAAATGTTTAATGTTAAGCGAATGTACTCCAACCTTTCAATATCAGCTTCAATGCATGCTTGTTTGTTTTTTCAACCATGTACTGGCGATATTCTAATACATAATTCTTCATCTCGACAAAATTGGTTATTATCGACCACAAGGAGCACATGTGGGGATGACTTATACTTCAATAAGTTTTTCCAGTCTTGTTATAATCTGCCATCCCTTGATTCACTTCATCATATGCAAGCAATAGCAATTTTTTTTGTGCAACAATCTTGCTTCAACTCCCCTTGCTCTTCAATGATTTCTCTTTGGAGGGAATCTTTTCCATCGTCGGGTTCATAAAATAAATCACCCATAGTAGGGTCATGTCTCACATACTGGCTAATATCAAGTATGAACAGTTTTAAAGGAATGACCCCTCCTACAAAATAGATAAGATTCACAAGAATTTAAATTTCAAAAAGAAAAAAATGCTTAATGTAAAGTGAATGCTCTCAACTTTTCAATTGTAGCTTCAATGCTTGCATGATCATTTTTCAACCACGTACTGGCGACATTCTAATAAATGATTCTTCATCTCTACAAAATTGATCATTGTCGACCACAGGAGCACATGTGGGGATGACTTTTACTTCAAAAAGTTTTGTCAGCTTTGTTATAATGTGCCATCCCTTTACCGGTTTCATGAACAAAAAAAAAATCACTTTCTAACCCTTCGTTTTATTGTATAGGCTCAGAATCTTGGTATATTTGGAAGAAAATAAAATGCATCCTTCCTTGAAGGCATTTATGCTGAATATATACATTGCCTCATGCTCCTAAACAAAGGCAATGAAGGAGAATATGCTAGCAATGGAATTCAACATAATATTTGTTAGGATCAAACCATAAAAATTAAGGATATCCATAATTTCCATACATACATGAACTCATAGTTCGAGGTGAGACTAATCATGATATAAGCACTACTTATCATCATAATACAAGTTGGAATACTCATTTGCCTCTGTATCTCTAATTGCGTAGTCTTTATCATATTTAAATATAACCTTATCGAAGAGCTTTATATCGCGCTGAGTTATAAATGAAGTAAAATTTAAATTCGCCCTTACAAAGGCATCATAACTCTTGATTAATGCAAGCACATGAGAACAAAATATTGGGAAAAGAATTTCTTTAGTCATGCAGACCATATTTATAGAAAAATCTCAAATTCATTAAATCATTTTGGTCGCATCCATGGGCCACTTGTCACTTTAAACCTTGAATAAAAAATCCAAAAGCGATATGTTTTTTATTAGTAATTGAAGATAATTTTATCATTTTGAGAAGTTAAATGATGTACTATCCTTTGATCTAGTCAAACATTAGAAAAGCACTGACTTTTTCTTAAAGCAGATAACTTCAAATAATGAGCAAATTCATGTAATATGGCCAATGACAAAAATAATAGAACAACAAAGTAAGATCTAAACTTAAAATTTATTTTTATAGTAGATAGAAGCAACTAGATAAGAAGATATATTCTTATTAAGTTACAGAGATTACAACAAATTACATGAATGAAGAAATGGAAAAACTTAGAAATGAAGTTCTCATGAGTTTCTTTTATGCTAGGCACATCTAAATGGTGAATTCTCTTAAGGTTGTTTTGAAGAAGCAGTCATATTTCCAAACTCATCTTGCAAAGGCATCTCAATTCCTACAAACAAAAACGGGCTGTTGGATTCAAACTAGTCTCTTGAGAAATCAAATGACATCAAATAAACTTTCTACCCATTAGGATCCTGTGTGATTGAGAAGATTCAGTATGTTTCTTCATCAAGATGATTTCCATCAATCTTCTTTTGCATTTATCTAGCCATCAAACAAAATGGTAGGGTGACTAATCGATACTTCTCTGTTTGCCAAGGTTTTTTCTTATTACCTGCTTAATAATTCTCGTCTTCTGGCCTCTGCATGAGCTTAAATGGAAGTTACAATATTCTTCAACATGAAAATATCAACTTGTAATTCTTCAATTCTCCCAGTTGAGATTGCTTCTCCAATCTCATCCCCTAGGTTAACAAAAGAAGAGCTAGCTGCCTTAGAAATTTTGACAGTATGTTCCCAGATTCACTAGTTGCCATTAGCGACAACTCTTAAAGCTTGATCTTGATCATTAACATGACTAGAAGTATCCATTTCCCTCGACTTGAATATTCTTTAATAATTCATCTCTTAGGGTGACTTCTTTACTGACAAATTCACTAACATTTCTCTTAGAAATTCAATCCGTGACAATGCTTTTTTACTTATATTTTTTTTCAATGTCTTGAGTCTTTTGGCTGAACCTTTTGTAAAGTCACATATGGAATAGAACTCTTGAAATCTAGATAATAAATAAATTGCTTGAGAATCAATGAGTTGTCTTGAGGTTCTTCAATTTTTTACTCCGGAAACCATGACAAATTGGGTGCTGATTAATTGTCATCCCTTAGTTGTTCCCAGAAGTACGCTTATTGAAAATCGAATGGCAGCATCTCCAGTTCCAGTACAGGGTAACTTGGCCTCTTTAGCTATAGCCTATAGGGGCAACAATATTCTTTGAAGCAATATTCTCAACAACGCCTCAAACAACCTTCTTATTGACTTTTTTCACAATAAGATTTCAAGATTAATCTATTTTAGTTTAGAGAGACTAGTAGTAGCCTCAGGACCCTTGGTTAATTGCATGGTGTTGAACAATGACCGCTTTAGTCTCCTTTGTTGCCTGTATCTATATGTTTTATTAAGATGCGGCTTTCAGTAACGTTTTTTTCATATAATTTTCATGTTTACGAGACTTCCTTTTCATCATTTTTAAAGTGCATGCCAATAATTTTTTGCCCCAGAGCTTTAGTCAAGCTTTTTCATCTTGGCAGATCATAAATAACTATGACATATGCAAAGAAAGATGAACAAATGCCAGAGAACCTTGAAAAAAAATTGATAGGGAAATATTTATAGTCTCATTTGATGTTGATGTGTCTGATATGAATAACTAAATCTATGTGATTAACACATTCAATGGCAACACATTCAATGTGCCAATCCGCTGAAGCTAAGTTAGATTTTAAAATTTTGTTCTCTTATTCTTTTCAACTTCTTAAAAATAGACCAGAGAATCATTCCAATATTAGTATAGGTCAAGCTATTAAGCTATCTTATGAACTTGAACAGGGTTTAACAAGCCACCAGTTTTAAAATAACTTGATACTTGCCAACTTAAAGTTGCCCAAAATTATAATTCACCTAAAGTCTCTTCTCATTACGTCACCCAGATAAGGTTCTACTTATCTCCAGAGTCTTACAAATTGGAGTCACCAACTCACCTCTCATGAAGATTTTGACTACTCGTTCAGTAGTACGCGCTGGACAATCAAGAGCTAAAACTCAATCAGGGTTCTTGGTAGCTGAATTCACCTTTAGAATTCGTCCCCTTGAAGTCACTCTCAATTGGCACTAGAAGTTGCCCGATTCCTAGACAACTATCAGCCAATCAGATCTGTCCATTCCACAACGTGCTTCATTAAGATTTTCTACATAAAATTCCTTATATTTTTTAAGCACTACTGACCGTTACCATAAACATATCAATAGGAGGTCATAGTTTGAGGTCTTTATACAATCTTGTCTCATCGGTCTTTTACTCTATTCTGAAGTATAAGAAGCTCCCAGGGCTTCCTTCTCTCCTCTTCCCATGGTTGCTTGAATCATGATTGATAGAAAGGTGCTGGTATCGCTGAAGGAAAAAAATAGATTCAACAAACAAGGGTAGCATGAAACAAGGCAATTTCCGCATAAATTTTAATGTTATTCAGAGGAATTTGAGGTGTATTTATTCATTTATTTTTGTCTGCAGGTATGGAAATTGTTGATGAGAGAATATCATGTTGCACTGCTTAGAGGGGTTCAAGCACTTTTTTGCTGTGCTATTGAAGTGCTGTGATATTGATTTGCAAAAGCAGGCTAAGGGCTTACAAGATCCTGAGATTTTAGCGAGAGAGACAGTGTGTATGTTGCGTAACAAGCCTCCAGATTCTAATTTACTAATAAAATAATAATAGATTGATTATGAAGAAAAAAATTACCCTCTCTTTCTAAGTTGTTACAAGTATTGAATAGAGCCTATAGGTAATATATCTGACCCTAATTTTTTTTCCTTGTGTTTTCTGCAGTCAGTGTAAGCGAAATAGAAGCACTTTATGAGCTCTTTAAAAAGATTAGCAGTGCTGTTATTGATGATGGATTGATCAACAAGGTAATAATCTTTCTTTAATTCAAAATATTCATCCTACTGCATTCTGGAACTATGTTAATTAACTTTGTTTTAATAATTAAATTATATTGGCTCAAGTAAATAAAATGAAATGCATATTCAATTTAATGCCGTTTTATTCGTACTGTTTAACTGGCATATTTATTTTAGATATAGGACATTCAATAACATATAGGGAGCAATGTTATCTTTAACTAATGTGTCCCTGCCATGTTATCTTATTAATCTTATCATGGCTAAAATATTATTTTTCTTTTTTTCTTTCTTTTTTACTGCAGGAAGAGTTTCAACTAGCTCTTTTCAAAACCATTAAAAAAGAGAGTTTGTTTGCTGATCGGGTATTTCAAAATTTTCCGGCTGGTTGAATTTAATTTACAAACTTACCAATAATTGCATGAATTACTGGGAAGTTTTTTATGTTATAAGCACATCAGTAGTTGCATGAGTTACTGGACTTCAACTTTAATTTTTTTATTTTTCATACTTAAGTGTGTGAGTTTGGCTGTTTAGATTGTTATTTGTAAATAATGAGTTTTGAGTTGTTGCAGCATTTTGTCTTAATTTTTATTTGAGATCATGGTTTTGTGTTGTAGAAAGATCCTCCTTTCAAATTTAGGGATATGGCGTCTATCAACCTCACATAGACCCTGCTGGTGGGATCATTAGGCATTAAGCTGGCCCTTTTTTTTCCTTTCTATTGCTTCATTGACTGTTTGAGATAATATCGCAGTAGTTCGATATCCCATCCCTGTACTGAATAAAATGAAGGGCTGTCCCAATAATTCAATGCCACCCTACTCGTAAATCAACCATGACAGCAGTAGTAGATTGTGATACAGCTTTTGATGGGAAAATCTTTCTTTTTCATAATTACCATAACATAATAGTCCCCGTTTTTCTTTTCTGTGGCAAATTTCATGGGGATGCATGTTATATTGCATTGTTCTTTAAATTACATCCTAAGTTAGATAATGAATGCTACTTATTGTTTTTGATGATTTTCTTTGAATTGAGTTTTACTTGATTTCTCAAGTTTCGAAATGTCAATTTCCCTAGAGATTTTTTAGGAGGCCTAGAGATTAGATAGACCTCTATTTGTTTGATTCCTGGGACAAGCATGTAGTAATGACATTGATAATCAGTAATTTATAGTAGTTGACATATTATAATGTGAAACAAGCTACACTAGAGGGGTTCATGGTAATCCCATTACCATTTTAAAATGCATGACCCTCGGTGGAGCCCGATCCGTGACGAGGGCGTCACATGATTGGGTGGAGGAGAATGTCATGGACAAATAGTCCCACATCGGCTAGGTGTAGAGCCGAAAAACAGTATTTAAGTTTTGGGCTGCCCACCACCCATAAGAGCTCTTTTGGGAGGTGACATAGTGCTTTCTTTCTCCTTCCGGCTCCCTATGTGCTTCTTCTCCTTCTTGTTTCAGTGGGACCCTCGGTGGAGCCGATCCGTGATGAGGGCGTCACGTGCTTGGGTGGAGGAGAATGTCACAGACAAATAGTCCCACATCGGGTAGGTGTAGGGCCGAAAAGCAGTATTTAAGTCCTGGGCTGCCCACCACCCACAAGGGCTCTTTTGGGAGGTGATATATATATATATATGTATGCACACCTTTAAGTTTAGGGGTATTGAGGTATGTAAGCTTCATGCCTGCACACCAAAGCAAGCCTGTGAGTGGGCTAGTTAAATCAATCTTTATTCTCGAGAGAGAGATCATGTTGATCCGAGAAGGAGTGGCTATAAGATGGCCAGCTACCATTCGCATGCAGAATCTTTCAATGTCATAGGCTATAATGGGGCTAGCTGTTATTTGTGTGCAATTTATCTCCACGTCGTAAAAAGATTATAGAAAGAAAGCCCGCTTTTGGCTTCTCTGGCTTGTTCTTCAATATACATGCCCATTGCATTGCTGCACTGGATTATACTAAACCCAATCGAGGTTTGATTTCCTTCTTTTCAAAGGTGGAAGGGGAGGATTCATTAGGAGCACTTAAAGCTTTGGTCAAAAAAGGCCGAGGAAGCCTTGCTAGATTATTGCCTTGGCTCCAACAATAGTCTCATCCCTTTTTCAAAGTTTTTTACGCATTTAAGGCCACCGAATTCTTGCTCATGCATTATGCCTTCTTGCATAGCTAAAGGTCATGGTGCTTGCTATATGAGAATTTGGTGTTGTAATAGGGAGGTTATCACTTTTTCTTGGTACTTTACATGCTTTTTGTGCATAAATTTTATGACACGATGAAAGTCATATTTAACCTTGATGCTTTTTACAAAGCCAAACATGACCTTCTTGATGCGGCTGGTTGATCTTACTCTCATTTATCCTCTTTTCTGGAGAGATGCATAAGTGGCAATAAAAATTTCAGTAAAATCCATGCGTTAATGAATGCTATTTTGCATTCTGTGTCCATTATGAAAGTGTTGTTGAAATGAAAACTGGACAGCATTGATATAAACAAAATGATCATTCTTAATGAGCTAAATAAAAAAAGATTTTTTAGATCATGAAATTTTGAGGTAAAATGAACGGTAATTATTTACAAAGTTAATCTTTCATGATTTTTTTTTTGTTTTTTATCATCATTTTTTATACTGAAATTGAGATTGCTAGTCATGGGGGAAGTTGAGGACACATCTTTCTCCCAACAAAGTTGGAATGAAAATGCAGTTAAATTGGCTCAAAATTGTTAAAGTGCTTCTTTTTGAACTAACTCTCTATCCTAAGCACTTACGTCCTTCTGCATGTCCACTCATGTCCATTGCTGGTCTTGCTAAATAATTCCTTAAAAGATCCTGGGAATTTTTCTCAAGAAAGCATACATATCTTATTTCGGTCAGTGATGAACCAAAATTCTATAAAGTTTACGGTTAAAGTATTGACAAATTTAACCTCATTGTCCATTTAGATTCGGTGACGTTATGACTTTGCCAAACCTATCAGTTGATTCGGTGACATTTTAGACAATATCTAGTTATATTAGCTGACAAATTTGTCTTGATTGAGTATTTTTTGGACAAAAACTCTTTGATTTTTCTAGAATTACCAAAATGTTGTAGAATTATGAAAAACATATAATTTAGATTTGGACCTGGAGAACAATTGAAGTACCCCTAATAAACTAAGGAAGGCTTATTGACAATGAATCTTGTGGTGTTGACCCTCTCATAAAAACTCAAATTCACATAAAAATTGACCAAACCCTGACATGCAGTTACATGGTTGTTGACTGGTGCTGTCTTTTTCCTCTTTCCAAAAAAATCACTTCAATCACCCATGGAGCCATAATTACATTGATCTGGACCTTCATCTGGATGATGTATACAGTTGTTTAATGAGATTATCATCTACTTCACCATGGAACGAAAGAGTTGCCATCACAATTTTATAGAAAGGATTCACCTCCTTGATTGTGGGTATGTGACACTAACACCGAGACCGCTTTAGGGTTTATAGAAAATGTTTGAGATTGAATTTAGCGGCGAGGTGCTGTAAAAAGTCTTAAGGAAGAGAATATGTGAAGTTTGTGAGCTTTGGAGGACAAAAGGATAATGTTGGCTGCTCTCTAGAAGGAAAGACAGTAGAAAAGGCAGCCAATCGGTGAAGTCGACAAGCACGATCACCAAGGGAGATCCATTGCCTAGTTTCAGACAAGCTATGGACACACCAATTGCATGAGGAAAAGGACCCAACACTCATTTAGGGTTGAAACCAAAGAAACAATCTCTAAATAACATAAATCAAGGAAAAAGTCTATTTAAAATGTTTTCAAGCAAATAACCCAAATTCAATTTCAAATAATATAAAAATGAGGCCCATAAGTGCTAGCAGCAACCAACATGCGGGAAAATTCTGCGATTAAATTTCCACAGGACGGGATTCCATCCCGATCCCAATCCCGCATATGCGCAGATCGCGGGAACCTATCTCGCGCACTCTCCTTTGGTAGGAGAGGCTTAGCCTTAGAAATATTTGAATCATTTTAGACACATAATACTTAAATCTATGAAATCTAGACATGCATCATCTTTTAAAAATAATGGTTGATTACTATTGATATTAGACACTTTATATTTGTACATCATATATTAAATATGTGTTTTATTAATTTTAAATCTTCTATAACTTTGTCTTGTTTTAATTCCTACTTATTTTATTAGATATCTCACCAATTAGAAGCATGTCATTTAGAAAAGATTATACCAAGGCATTTCATTTTGAATAACTTTGTAAGCTTCTCCATAACGATTATAAAAGATATGGACTCAATATTAATCCTTGATGTAATCCAATTGTAAATAATACATCTTTGGTCGCTTTATAACTGTTATTAATATTGCTATATTATGCATATATTTCATAATTTCAATATATCTTTGGTACACGACTTTTACTTTTAATGTACATCAAATGTATTCTCATGATATCATCAGATCATATGGCATCTTAAGTTTATAAAATTCATATGTTGATCCTTTCTTGATGTTTTATACTTTTTCATTATTTTTTTGATGCAGTAATCAGTTCCATAATAAATTATTTTGAATATAGCCAAATTGATTTTCTGAAATTAATCTAATTTCAAAGTCTGGTTCATTAATCTCTCCATAACTTCATTGTACGATTGATAAGTTTATTTTATTTATATATCTCTCAAAATTGGCCATGCCTTTATTTTTAATGTTGGTACAAAATGTTTTCCAATCATTTAGCATGTTTTTAGTCGTCAAATTTCTATTGATAAGATGCCAACCAAACTATCTCAACATTCTCTTATAATTTTTAAAATATCAATAGATATGTCATATGGATCAAAAGTTTTACCTTTATACATATTTTTAGAGCAATCTCTGCATAATTTTCTTGCACCGCTTTATGATTTAGCTCATTTTTTGTTTATTATGCTATTCCAAAATTTCTTTCTTAATATAGTATTTTCATCTTTCTTTGATTTTTTTCATTATTAAATAAGATTCAATTATCATTGATTTTATTGTATTTAACCAAAATTTTAGATTTGTTATCTCTTGCTTTGGCCTTTTTTAATTTAGTGACCAACTTTATAAGTATAGGTGTCAATTCAGGTTCGCAGGTGACCCAAAATTGATCCAACTTGAAATAGCTTACCTGATATTAAACAGGTTAGAGAGGTTAACCCGAACCAGACCCGTCTTTAACTCATTGACCGGAACTTGACTCGTATAACTTGTTTAACATAAGATATAACAGCTATTTGGGTTAAATTCGTGGTCAATTTTGGGTTAATAGGTTAGTTTTGGGTCAATTTCAGGTCTGCAGTTCAACCCGATCCCAACTCAAAATTTAGACGGGTTAGGAGTAGTATTTAATTTTTGTTGCTCTGTGTAACATTCTATACCTCATCTACCTCCAAGTATTCTACCCAATGCACAATCAATTTGTAGATTTTTTTGAACTTTCTGAGATAATTTGCTTAATAGAACCGACCCTCTTATCTTACTAGAGATTTAACCTCAAAAGATAATTTTTATTGTTTTCATTTATCAACATCCTTATTTGATGTTTTAACAATTTATTACCTTTTATATCTCATAGCTTTTCTAGAGCAAATCTATCTTTTGATTGTTTTATATGCTCTTTTTATTTGCTTCTATAACTACTCTATTTTGCTTAGTCAAAATTTCTTATGAAATTATTTTATAATCCTATAGATGGATTATATATATATATATAAAGAGATTATTTGTAATTTAGTAGCTCTACATTTGAGAGTGATTAAGTAAACGGATAAATTTTTTGTGCACTATTGCAAGATCATATGATTAGGAGAGTAGATTATCCATGATAGGGTTAGTGTTGCTCCTGTGACGAACAAAATTAGAGAAAGTTATCTTAGATGGTTTGGTCACATTAAGCGTCGACCATCTGATGGATCCGATTAGGAGAGTAGATGTTTTAGATTCGCCATATGTTAAGAAAGGCAGAGGTAGACCTAGGAAGGCTTGGGCTTATTGTATAAAAAATGATCTTAATTTATTAAAACTAAATGAAAGGGGTTAAGGCTTTGTTGTTGTTATTGTTCTATTGCAAGATCATATGCTTTCACAATTTTTGTTATAGCTTCTCTCATGTTATAGCTTTTCTGATTATAATTTTATCTCCTATTATACCCACATGCACTCTCTCATATCTAAGATGTTCTAAAAACTTGATGTTCATAAAGGGCTTGCACTCAACTTGATAATTGTTTATATTCACTCATTCATTAGCAGAATGATTTGAGGTTGAACAAGATTATTCAGCTTGTTTACTTAATGAATGGAATGCGAGCAAGATCATGCTCATTTATGCTGTTTAGGGAAATAAAAAAGTCAAAATTATGGAAATTGTATATTTACGTTTTTTAATCTTGAAGGATATTTTATTTTGTAAAATTTCCAACTTTATTTCATGCGAATGGAGCCATAATTGAAAATATTGTTGATTGATTTGATGTTCATTTTCTAAGCTTTATCCTAATAGCATGATCCTTCTATCAACAGCTCTTTTTGTCTCAGTAATTTTATTTTTAAACTCCATCCACTATGATTTTATTCCCAGTTCTATTGTTAATCTTTCCAACATACAATAACTTATAATCTTCTTTATATTTATTAATTTTTCATTTCAACTTATAATCTTCATTTATATTTATTGATGTCTCTTTATGTTCATATACCCTTTTTTAGAATAAGTAATTTTAGATTAAATAACTATTTGGGTTTCTCTACAGTATTCACCCTGATTGACCTCTTTTCTTGGCGACTAGTTGGACATTGTAAATGACATCTTATTAATCAACTTTATTGAAATAAATCTCTATCCCTTATAGCTTGATTTACTAACATCATTCTAGAGTTCCTAGAAGGTGTGATGGAGCACCAAAAGGCGTTAGGGAAGTTGTAGATGGAGTAATAGGTGTGGGAGGTTGGATGGCGTTTGAAAATCGGCATTAGTGACGGTTGGACAGCAACCTGAAAGTAAGAAAAATTGCACTTTCCAGTTGTAAACAACGTAGAATAGGGTTTAGGCATTCAACGGTCATCCCGTTGAAAACAACGAGCAAGCTACATCTAAAATTCTGGATAGCAATATTCAGAGAGAAACTCTCAAATTCATAAATTCAATGAAAACTGAAGTCCCAACCAACCAAAACCCCAAATATATAAAAGCTCCCTAATAAGGAACCTAAATTAGAAAATAAAGAAAAAAAATAGAATTAAGGAATAAACAAAAATAGTTGATAAAGGAAACGCCCAGTTCGGCGTGATCAATCCCACAACGTAGTAATCCGGCCTGAGAGTTGTGGTCTCGCTGCGATCACGCATCTTGCGTTACTTTCCCCGGGTAGGAGAGGCTTTGCCCTCGTATCCGAAAACATCCAGGCCCTCGTTGTATGCACGATAAATCAAGAACATTAAAAGGTGTAAAAATATTGAAGTCTCCCGGTAGGTCAATCTTCTAAGTGTTGTCATTAATTTTCTTAACAATCTTAAATGGGCCGTTGGCTCTAGGCTTGAGCTTTCCAAATGAATCTATAGGAGATTACTCCTTCAGTCTAATCCATATCATGTGGCCTTCCTTGAAACCTATAACCTTCCTGAACTTGTTAGCTTGCTTATGATACTTAGTGTTTTGCTTGACTATTTGTAAGGTCTGAATGCCATTGAATAGATCCTCAACATCAGTGCTAAGCTCAATACCGGGTAGTATTGGGACTAATTACCTTGCTGATTTCTTGTTGTTATCGACATTAGCATCTCAAGAATTCTACTATTGAATGACTACTATACAAGTTTCTTTTCATGCAAATCTTGTACTAATTTTAATTTGATTTTTTGGAGGGGGGTACAAAACTTTGTAGTTAAACCTTAGTAATAGTGGAGTTCTGATATTTAGTTCATGTTATGTGGTTCTTTCTTTTTGGGCTTTCCAAATAACAAATCTCTGCCTACGTTTTTATTTTTTTTTTTACTTTGTATGATAAAAAATTTAGAAAGATAACTTTGACAATATTTCATCCTACTTGTTCATTGAAATGCTTTTAACATGTAATAATGGCATCATATGAGAAACCTAATCTTTTGTCATCAATTAGAGACTCCAATGGCCACTGAAATTGTTCAAGTATTGGAACTTTGACTCCTTATCTGGATGCCTTTACTTGAATGGTTTGTTTTGGATTGATTTTGCTTACATCAGCTCGACCCAAACCAATCACTCTCTTGCTTGCATGGGCTTTTACCCATGCGAGGAGGAAAGCAGACAATAGTGGCATAAGTTGCCTTCTACTTTGGTTGTTGAAAGGCCTACAAACTAATTCCTACAACATTGGCTATTGGCAAAAAGCACCTCTTTTATGATAGGGTACTCTCATTTGTTCTTAGAAAATTTCTAAAAGTTCAAATCTTTTTTGAATTGCTACAATCACTATGTACCTCCTTGTGAACCTTTTGTCTTTAAATGTTTCTCTTGACGTGAGAAGCCAGTCATTCTTTGTGAACCTAATATTATCGAAGAGGTTACAAATTGCCCCAAAACATTTTCCATCATTCCACACATGATTATTCACATGATTTTTTCACAATTTTCAACAATGATAGTCAGAGTGGCTCAAAATTTGCCAACCATTTGCCCTACCTTGGTCTTGTACAGTTTGGCAAGAGCAGATCAAGTATGCCTATCCATTCAGATTCTGCACAACCTTAGATGGAAAGGTGAGGGATTACCTCAATACTTTTTGGATAACTATGTACTAATTTGAATATTACAAGTCTTCCGGTTATTTTGTTTGGGATTTTCCTCTTGTTAGAACTCTCTTTGCCAGATTTTCACTCTATCTCAAAGTTTCTTCAGGTTCGATGCTAATCTCATCAAGAAGAATTCAATCGATGCAAACACCAATGACTATGGTTGGCGACTTCTTACTCTTTGACTTACTACTCGTTCGACTTCATGCTCTAAAGACCAATTGGTCTCCTTTGCACTTTAGTAACTTCTTTTGTTGACTACTCATCATTCCTTTTTTTGAAAATAAAACTTGTATTTCTTGTTGGTTGATCCTCCCCTTGGTTTCTTGTCATTATTAACAACAAAAATTCTTGAGCCAGTATCAAATGACATTTACTAGATTAACCCCTTTTATAAATCTCATGTTACCATGGAAAGGGGATGAAATCTTGTACTTGACTTCTACTTATAGCTCAAATTTTTATTTTTAGTTAGGCCCCATTATCTTTTCCCTATTGAGTATTTCACGTTACAAATTTTTGTCCCTTGTTTGTATGAGAGTTTAATAATTTTAGACCCAAGACGATCATAAAGTGTTAACACTATTCCCAATTTGTTAAAATATTTCAAATGCACATTAAGTAGCATTTATTAAATCGTTGACACAAGTCTAATGATAATAATATCATAATGAACAAAAAAGGTTTAGCGAAGTTACTGAGTCCAAGATTGTCTTGATAAAAATCCAACCATTTTCTTCACTTCCATACCTAACAATTTCTCTTTGCAAAAGAATATACCTGATGTTTTTCAGTTGTTCACACCCTTTTTTTTTCAGGTTTTCGACTTGTTTGATACAAAACATCATGGGATTCTAGGATTCGAAGAATTTGCTCGTGCTCTCTCTGTTTTTCATCCTAATGCTCCAATCGATGATAAGATTCAATGTGAGTTTTACGTTTTTGTTCATTAGATTAATCATGACAACTTGGTTCAAAATTTTGTCAATGAGATTTGAAAGTGTGGCTTAATATCACTTTATTTTTTTATTTTTGCTTTTTAGAAATCATGAGAAAGTTGATGTTTATATTTGTAAAACCTTGTTTCCTGAATAGTTTTTGTTTTCGAGATGAGTGCAACACATTTAGATCACTTAGTAAAAATCCAATTTAGTTATGGTACATTTACACGCATACCACACAATTCTTATTCTTTTACATGTCTAAACACCTAAACTTTCAAATTTACATGCATAGCAGTAAAATAATTATCATCACATCAAATTATCACTATTATTAACTTTTTAAAAGTGAAATACATTTTTTCATGCATAAGTTTATTACACCAAAGTGCTATTAATGCAAATATCAAATTTTGGTTGTTAGATAGGTAAATACATAAGCATAGTGTGGGGCATGTATTGAAATTTTGCATTATTTATTTATTTATTTTTAGTTTGAACGCTAGAATTAATAGCCTTAAAAGTTTGACGAGGCAGTGACTCAGCCAACTTTTTTGGCAATATCATTCTTATGAATCTCCTTTTGGAGTGCAAAACCTCAATCCGGATGTAGAAAGACCAAGTTGATCCTTAATTTGGAATTATAGTTTTCATTCTCCATGTTCATTACCATCTGAAAGAAAGTCGATATCTTTTTTTTTTTGTCAGTCTCAACTGTCTCACCTTGCTAAATTGCGCTTCTCCAGGTTTTAATCAATGCTCTAAATTTTTTAAATCTGCTATATCATGAATGTTAATATCAATTTTGAAAAAAAAAAGCTTTTCTATAATGCAAATTGTGTCTTGATACTTTTTCATGTTTTTGGCTTTTCTTTTATTAATTTATGGTTTTGTTTCATTTCATTTTATTCCCACTTCAATTTGGATCACTATTTTGAATTGCAGTTTCTTTTCAGTTGTATGATCTCAAGCAACAAGGTTTCATAGAGAGACAGGAGGTAATTTTGCTATTTTGAAACATAAGTCCATTAATCCAAATTCAATGGTGTAAAGTTCTTTAAAAGTAAATAAAAGTAAATTGTTTGCAATGAAATATTATTAAACCTGACAAGTTGGAGCTCGTTTATGTTTAACAAGTAAACACTAAATGAGCATCGTAATTGAATCTACTACATTAAGCTGCCAAAGAGCCAAATTTCTTTTTTATCAAAATTTTCAACGATGTAAAATATGATTTGTTATGTAGTTAAGATCTTTTATATACTACTCGAGAAAATATTCAATTCTTTGGGTTATTTTATATGATTATAGTAACCGATTGTGTTTCGATGAACAGGTTAAGCAAATGGTTGTGGCTACTCTTTCTGAGTCGGGCATGAATCTCTCTGATGAAGTTATAGAAAGCATAATTGACAAGGTTTGCTTACTGTAATCACGTTATAATTTTTAGGTTTAATCCAAATGATATTAATATGCCTGTTTTCTTATTCGCATTAATAATTTTCACTGGTTGATTCTCAAATTAGATCGCAGTTTATTCTTCATTTCGATTTAATTGACCGTGTAGCACTACATGTTCCAGAATTATATGATGTGGAATTTGATCTAGCTAGTCAAAATATATAAGTGCGTGTGATTGCTCATTAAGTTTTTTTTTTAATGTGAACTTTTATATTATATTTTTTAATAAGGAAATGCCTCATTTTAGCAAGACTCCTTATCCTGCTGGCTGAGAGCTTAAGCTTCTTATCTTCAAAACCTTGCATATACGGTATTCTTGCATTTGCGATGTTGAATAAAAAGGCTTGTTTTAATTGATATTATATTGACATTAATTTGATATAAAAGAAATGTTTGGATTAAAGATAATCATTGAAATAACATTATAAGATGAGCAGATCAATAGTCCGTGTAGATGTATCTATGTAGTGTTACTTATTTACAAATATTATAATTTTATTGTTGCAAATTTCATAGACTCACCTATATATGTATAACAGTGTGCGCGTGCGCGCGCGATCTAAATTTGCTTACAAATAATATAGCAAATGTAAATTAATGACACAAGCCTAAATTATAAAAATTAAACATGTGCTTTTTAAAAAAAAAAAATTATTATTTATTTTAATTTTAAAAATATTATTAATTTGAACTTATCAATGGAAATATAAATGTCTTAAAAAGATAAATGAATGTTGGTGAAATTGCTTATGTTTACAAAAACTTGTGGATTTTTTAAAAATTATAGATCGAGGACTGCAAAATCTAAATAATTGAAATTTAGTATATATTTAAAAAAATATAATATGTTTTTTTGCCTTAAAATTAATAATAATCATTAGTAATTTTAAGCTTATCTATAAAAATTTAAATATGCCTTAAAATGCCGAAATGAATATATGTCAAATTGATTACCTTTATAAATATATGTAAATTTTTCATTCGTGAAGTATTAGATATATGACTAAAATTTTCAGGTCTAAAATGGATGAATGGGCATGATTTCTTCTGGGCAAATGCATCAAGCATCTTTCTTAATAATATAGCATTTTATGTGACATAATCCTAGTGGAATTCTTGCCATACCTTTTTTTGGTTTTGTTTTAGGCTATTTTCTTTTTGATGTAAATAAATATGGTTTGATCACATACAAAACTGATGCCATAGAATCTTTAGCATTTCACTAGTTGAATTTTGAAGGGTCACACAGAAATTTTCACCAGCGGCATTTTGACATCTCTGCTGAAAGACACCTCTTAAATTCTGATATCTTCATTACAACGTGAGGATGGGCTCGTATTATTATTAGAAATTGTCGTAGAATAGCTTAGAGTTTTTAATTTCCTTCTTTCTAATTCAACAATCAATGTCGGGACCATACCTTATTCTATTCGTTATAAAGATGTTTACAAGAGTTATTCAAATTGAGCTGTCTTTATGCATATATATGTGCAAATGACATAATTCTAACTAGTCCATTGTAATACATGAAAATTAAAACATCGATTTTTTTTTTTTTGTTGAAAATAGTTGTTTTAGGATTAATAGAAAAAGGCTATGTATTTATATGCAATGTTATTGACTAGGATACTCAATATTATTAGAAGATATCTATCTGCGTGTGTGTGTGTATTCCTCTGGAATTTTTTGTGGTAAGAGGATATCATGGTTGCATAAGCTTAAATTTTATAAAAGCGCTATTAGGACTGCAATGTTGTGAGAATTTGAATATTTGATCATTAAAGGCCATTGATGGCTAAGTTGAAATTGATATAAATGAGAATGTTATGATAATTATGTATAAAAACTAGGTATGATAAATTAATAAATATATTATCAGAAGAAAAATTATAATGCTATCTATTAAAGTTAGTGTGTTTGAAAATAAACTTAGTTGATTTAAACCTGTATGATAAAGAGCAAAACATACACTTATCATGCCAGTTGATAAAATTGGTGTTTAAAGTATTAGGAAAGAAAATGGATAGAACTTAAAGTTACATTGGTAGAAGTTGTTCACAATGATTTGTGAAGAATAGTTTTAGAACTTAATGTAAAACTCAGCATGAGCGAATGGAAAATGAGAATTAATAATGCCAACTCCGAATGGTTGCGAAAAGGCTGGCCATGGTGATGATTTTGTGATATCAAAATCATCAATAGCACAAAGTTGAGTACCTACTAGATGCTAATTGGTTCAAGTATTTTTCATACAGTCGTGTAAGATTGGCTTTATAAGCTAATCAGGATTTTGTTTTACCATTTATATATTTTTCAGTTTAAGGATTTTATGCATCAATCCTGTTTATAATTATTAACATATCCTTTTGATGGTCTCTTGTGCGTAACCGTGGCCTGTTGGAGGGCAGCTTCGGCGTAAGTCCCCTCTGCCCCGAGTTCGAATCCCAGCTTCGTCGAATTAGCGCATATGGGGGATCGGCATTTATGGGACAGGATGATACATGTGCGCTATATTTCGATTTCTTTAATATATATATATATATATAT